AACTCGTCTCACAAGACCTTCGAAGGAAGAGCCAAAACAAAATAATATTGAGGGGAGGATGCAACATGAACCACGAACTAGATTCAAAAAGTGTGCAGCTTGCCAAAAGAACTTGAACCCCCTTTTTTCAGGGTGTACGTTTACGCGACTATTGAGGAGTTTAGAAGAAGAAAGAAATTGAAAGTAAGAAGAAAGGAAGGGAAAAAGAAATTGGAAACTCGAATAACATCAAATCGACCCCCAAACAGCTGATCAGATACAAAACACGCTACGACATCCCACGCTACACTTGCAATATACGTTGCCGTGCTCGGCGTGCTATGCGGCACATGCGATGGTGGGCGGTCCTGGATTGACCAGGCGGCCCTGGATTGAAACCGAACGGCCCCGGGGCCTTAACGGGGTTTTTCAAGGTGGGAAGTTGCTGCAATGTGTGCAGCTACCCACATACAACCTCCAGGCACGGGAATTACTAGCGTGGCTGAGCCCGACCTTTGCCTTTAAGAGTGGTAAGGACTGTAAACAAGGCTTCACGTCAATGATACATTTAATTTGAAATAGTGTTCATCTGGAAGCCTTTTCCTGTATAGTTCCCAGATAAATCTAGTAGCCTTATTCCATGTTCTAAATGTACCTCCTCCATTAGAAAGTGCATGTCATCTTGATGATGGAACCCTTATCTCAAACTATGTCGTTTTCCAGGACTCGGCGTTATCCCTCACTCACTTAAAGGCGGTGATTACGATAATTCAAGAAGGGTTTGGGAGACTGGTGGTGCTCAATGGTACGCCAGTGGCGAAGAAATCCGTCAAGAAAACGCAAAACGGGACCCCTTTTTTGGCCGTTGGTTTTCACTCATGAACAGGTAACAGCTCAGAAAGCGGACGTATGAACGAGTTCATCGCAACGCGTTTGGTGACAGCATGCCAATCCATGCTCCATCGAGTTGCTTCAGTTGTGCCGCTGCTGGCAACGCAGCTCGTCCAAATCACCAACTAAACTAGTGGGCGGATCGCTTTTGGGGGCGGAGTGCTTTCGAAGTCCTGCTCAGCAACCAGCGCACCTTTGCCCAATAAGCGCTACGTGTCGGGTCCATGGCTCCCAATGCGTCCTCCCCCATGTGGAATCGCTGCCTTTAACCATCTGATGTCTGGTTGGTATTGTTTGGAGTAGAGTGTAAACAAATAGAATTACCGAGAAAATGAAAAAACAGTTATTCGAGAGGAGAAAGTTGAAAAAAAAAGTTCCGAGTTGGGGCGAATATTGGGCCAACTCTTTCCACAAAAAAGAAGTTGCTGAGCGTTTGTCCGACGTAAAAGAACATGAAAGAAGTGAAAGTCCTTGTGATCGACATATTCCAGACACCTTTTTAAGTCCACAGATATGTGGTCCTCTATTTTTAGAGAACATAAACGAACAAGAAAACGAAAACTGTGCGATACACACCTTATCGTGTATGGAGTCTGCGTCTGCGCGAGCTTTACCTATCTTTCTTTCCCATTTCATGCGATATCTTTTGCATCTGAGGTGATAGCATTCTTGCATACCTGTTTCTGACCACCGACGAACATGTTATCTGATCTTTCCTTTGCTGACATGGATTTGCCTTCGCTGCATAGCATGTCTGCTGGGAGTATCTCTGAAGCGGAGATCATCCCAGTAAAGCATTTTCCCATTTACCTACTTCTTGGCCCTTTCTCATTACTATGGGCTCATTGGTTATGTTGACGACTGCTATTTCCTCTACTCCTTTGACATTCACTTTGCACAGACTGTTTGAGATTCTTTTGTCATTTGTGTTCAGCATAGCTTCCGAGAATTTCTCTTCTCGCTTCACTTTTTGTCACTTCTATTTAGTCTCTGCAAGAGCTATGAAGACTCTTTGAGCAAAGGTGGCTGCAGAATTGTTCTACGCTTCTTTTGTTGTTGCTCCACGTCTTCGTCTTCATGCTCCAATGTTTCTGACCGTATCCTATCTGTGGGATTGCATTTGTTCCCGAAATGATTAGCCTTTCCTTTCGTTTTAGAGACTAACATCCGAACTCGGTTTCGCTTGTTATCACTTCTGTTTACGACATCAACCTCCACTGCAGTAGGAATTCCATCGCTTTCCCTGAAGCGTCTGTGATCTTCAGCGATTTAGGAAGCGCAATTTCCTTAACTACGGCATCGATGTCAATTCCATCGTCCATTGCTTCTTGGAGAACGATCGACGGCAAGATCGATACTTGTGATCCCGTATCAAGTAGAGCTTTTCTTTCTCTTCCAGAGATCGTCACCTCGATGGTTTATCGCTTGCCGAAAATAGGAGACGCCTTCGAACTTGTCCGCGTTTACTGCGGACCTTCTTGCACTTCACTCTACGAATCCGCGCGGTTAACGAGATTGAACGATTTGCTTCATTAGTGGCCGTGTTCTTGCACTCACGCGCTTATGACCTCTACTTTTGCACTTGAAACACTTTATACGTCACTTGTTTCCTCTACGGTCTTCGTTGGGTTCCAGCTCAAAATTGCTCCTCGTCTTGATCTGCGAAATAACATTTTCTTTGAAATAGTTTCTTCGGGATGTTTCTCTTGTCTAAATCCTCGAAAAGTTTCTTGAACTGGTTTTGAACATTTCTTTGTCCTCTGCTTGTGACCCCTGTAGTTTGCGACAACTCAGTACTTTTGCGATTCTTCAAGGACAGGTGTCTCCTCTCTGCCCTCATCGCAGCGTCTTTCAACCGCTCGTACATATCGCTACCGGGTCCTTACAAGAGCCTCTTGTAGGTGGCAGAACTCATCCCAATGAGAAACTTGATCGGAGGTGACCCGCACATATTATTGGTAAGGTGTCTTCTTTCAGCTCGGGATGTGCTCGACGCGTCAGTCACACACAAATCCCCGACGGACTGTTTCTCTCGTTTCAGCAGACGTTCCAGGACCTGTGCAACCACTTTTTTATTCCGCGACTCCTCCCTATACATTTCTTTCCATCGCATTCACTAACGTGTAGAAGTTACGCTTCTTTGCTTTAGCTAGCGCCTCAAATTGCGCCCTTGCTTTACCCGCCAACTTTGATCTGAATAATGCACAGCGCTCTTTGTCTTCCCAGTATTGACCAGGGTACTTCAACTCGAACGCTTCTACAAAGTGTTCAAACGGGTATTCCTTATCTTTTCCCGCGTACGGCACAACATCACACGGTAATGCTACAACTTCAAGTATTCTCCCCTCACTTCTAGGATCCCAGCCGACTTGTGGCACTCGTTGCCTACTCTCATTCATGCTTCTTTCATTCGAGCTCAAAATAGTCATAAAACGTAGTGAGATCCTGTGCTCTAGCTCTCCCTCGATGAACTGCTGCACTTTGCTGCACTTCCCGCGACGACAGTCCTTCTTTTCCTTCCTGTGCCAGCAACTCTGCAACTGCCTGTTTTGCCCATTGTCATCACTGATGCTACTAGTTTGTCGGCTTACCCTACCTGGTACTGCGGCTCGGTAAGCTTGCTGTCCTTCGCGATTATTAAGGCTTTATAATTCCGCTACTCTTCGCTTTTGTTTTTCGAGCTCATTCCTTGAGCGCTCGAATTTCTTCGTCCTTTCGCTGCACTCATCTTGCAAAGAGGATATTGCATTGCTAAGAAACTTTACGTCTTTGAGTAGCCTTTCACACGATGCTTAACGTCTGTATTTTCACAGTTACGTTTCCTCACAACTTTGCTTAGGGTACCCTCAGCCACTAAGAGCTGTTCTAGCTTACTATCTAATTCCTCTTCCTTACTCCATTCAAGGTATTGCTTTAGTACGCTGAACGCGGCGATAGCACAGCTGCAAACCCTCTATAGTTTTCTTTAACCACTGCAGGCTTCTCAAAATGCGCTGTACCTTCTGTTCTACTACGGCTCAATTTGATCGCGCCTTTCGTCACCTAGGCGAGAATGTTCCGCAACTTCTGTAATAAGATTCATCTTCAAATTAGTTACCTTTCAACTTAAAGCAACAATCCAGGAACGAATTCGCGGGTAAGGACCACCTATAATGACGTTGCAGGTGAGAAGTTGGTCAATGGAGAAAGAAAAAGTAGAAAAAAACGTCGGGCAGGGGCTTAGACAGGGACCCCCTGCCGTTTAGGGAGATGTGTGTTGGACGAGTTGTCCGAACCTGCCCGTAGTACATGCGCTCCAATTGACTGCTGGCAAATAGCCATGCATGCTTGCAAATACATAACTATTTGCCAGCAATCGAAATTGAAGCGCTTCAATTGGGTTCTTATGGAATCGACCTCATACAGCGCGGCGGTCCCGCAACGACCGCTAGTCGAGCAAGCGCTCTGCACAGCGAATGTTGGGCGATCCGCCTCTTTATGGGTGATCCGCCCCCTCCAAGAGGACTTCGACCCCTTCCAGCGCATTTTAGAGGTAGGTTTTGAAATTAAAGACATTTCCTATAAACTTTAGTTGGGCTGGGGCATGTTTTGACCGCCTAATGACCAAGTAGTTGAAACCCTGCCTGGACTGTTGCTTTAATGGCTCCTGTGCTATGACTCTGCTTCCAGCGTCGACATCTGCGAGCTAGTTCGTGTTATTCGTGGTTTACTAATACAGCCATTTCCCATATGCTATACGAAGTATACCATACAGCATATATTAGGTTGGAAAGAAAGTCCTGCAACACTTTTTCAAATTTTTGATTTTAATTTTATCTTTTTTGGTTACAACTTCTGACCGGTCTTATATCTACCATGAGTGTCCACCACTTGTCTCCATCGCTCAGAAAATTTCTTGATCCTCCTCTGCCAAAACCCAGCGGAGTGCGAGTCGAGAAAGGAGGCGACCTCACTTTCGAGTTGGAGTTGATCGTCTGATTATTTCGTTATAAAGATGATGATTAAAGGTCCAGGATAGGTAGCACTTATTTACAGCTCGACCAGAGGATTACGCTAAGAGAGGAAAGAAATCTTGCCGCAACTCCAGAATTTCTTACCGGGCTCATTTCGGATCATGGTGATTCGCAATGTCATGAAAGAAATGAATATTGTCGCGGTACGAGGGCTCTTGACGAGCTACCTCGGCCAGCTTCTGGTACTCCACACAACCTAGGCCACTGCCTACACATGGCCCATAACGAAGGGTATGTAGTGGAGCTTCTGTAAGAGCTTCAGTACGGATTTGCTAGTGGTCGAGATTTTTTGAATTTTCTTGGATAACTACTGACTGCAGAACTTATATCCACCTCGTGGATTGAAGCCTTGAGAATGCTCTATCATTTGGTAGTCATAAATGTTACCTATGAATTTTTCAGAAAAAAAGAAAATTTTGGAAAGAGTGTTGCAGAACTTTCTTTCCAACCTAATAAATTCTCTCATGTTCCCTGCAGCGATATCACGTCTCTTTTTGAGCTTCACCATCCATTATACCCTAACAATACTCGAAGAAGCGTTTCTTTACCATTCCACGTACAACAGTGTTTTAACACGACTGGTAGTTTAGACGGATGCTATTGAATCCACGTCTAATAGGCTACGATAGCTAGCTATCGAACCGCTTTTAATCTGAGACCGTGATCAAGTCGTCGGACCTCAAAAAAGTACTGGTACCCGACCAGGAGCCGCCCCCTGATAATAACGGTTTTAGTGAACCTGATCTGGCTGCTTATAAAGGGCTCGGCCCCAAGCCAAAATCCTCATTGGTGACGGAGCCAGACTAACGAAATCTGCAATCAGAAGTCTTCGTCTCATTTGAATACCTTAGCTCATCGCCACTTTAGTTTGAGCGTGGCTTCACGGAACCTGACTTACAAGTCGGCATCTGAAAACGTTAATTTAACACTCCACTTAGTTCGAAACGAGTGGGATTGCCAGCCTCAAGCGCTGAAGGATGGATTCTTGCCGACATCCTCCCTATCCGAAGGATGCATGCCACACCGTCATATAACACTCAACCGCAGAACGTATAGGTCGAAAAGCGTATCCAATGCGATTCAGTGAGGACCATGATATCAGCGATGCGAAGAACTTTCATAGGAAGCATGGAAAACATACTCCGAAATACTACAAACGTGAAGCTTTGTCGGATATGGAAAGACGGAGCAGATGTAAAGAACTATCGCGGGCTTTGGGCGTGGGCCGCAATAGAAGTCCATATAATAACTGATGGAAAATTCCTTTATGTT